GTGACATCCAGTGGCCTCCTCCATCATCCACAGTTAGCATACCAGCCAGCACTCTGAATCAACGTGGAGCAACGTGGCGTTTCTTATGGCTGGATCAAGCTGTGCTTCATGCACATCTGGAGGAGATTCAAGTATCATCGTGTCTAGGACTGTCATCTCTCGATATCCTGCTACCGGCGAACTACTCGATTACTTAGTGGGAACTCTGTTGAACAGTTTGTATGCCCTTTTGATCCATTCATCTCTGGTTTACGGCGAGCTCAATCACAGCAAACACCGACCTGAATCTTTCTCCACCTTTACTTCGCCCAGCTGGACTGGTGTCATCCATGTCCAAACATACACTTTCTATCGTAACTTTCCCCGCGACCCATCCTATATCAAAGCCATAGTAAGTGAATCCTCGGAGACACCTAAAGCGAACAGTTTTTGACATAATTGTTGGGCTGATACGCTATTCATATCCAGGTCGCAACTCTTTGGTACGCGACACACGCTATGGTGACCCCATGCTGACAGTCTCTCATCAAATACTTCTTTTTATATCCAGGGCTGCACAAACGTTCTTCTTGTTGGTATCCTTCGACGCTCCTCAGATTATGCCTAGCTGACACCCTGTCGTACCTCGCACCTCAACAAGCTTCAGTTGCATGTTTTTGCTCTATCACGCGCTAATACGAACAATGAAGTATCCTTCATTGATCTATACGATACCGTGGTACTGACAATCTTATCGGAAATGCCTGAGCCTTCATTCTGACGAACCAAACCAACTCGAACAGGGAGATTCGATTATTTGCGACCCACAAGGTTGGTTTAATAACGAAAATAAATCCGCAGTAATATCAATGCTGATCAACATCTTCCAGCTAATCACAACGACATTATCGCAGTTCTTCTTTGCCTATCGGCTGTGGACATGTAAGCTCCCTCGATGTATACCACTGTGACTTTTGAGTGACCACCAGCTAATGTCCATTGATGGCATATATCCAGATGGGCGTGATGTGTACAGAATATTCCCATTAGTAAGTGCCATCCTAGCCAGGAATTTTGGCGATATGTATGTTGTCTAATAGACAGAATGATAGGGGGTATTGGTTTTGGCCAACCTAGGTCAGTCAGATCCCACGTTTCTCACATGAGGCGACACTGTTGTCTGAGTCTTGGGGTACATTCGTGGCCCCTGGGCCTGGTACATAGGGTTCGGAATTAGTATGCCTCCCCAGCTGCTTCACCAGAATATTTAACATGACTTGAGAACTCCAGGTAACGCTTATGACAAATGGCACGCGACCAGTGCTCTATATGACTGGCTGCAGACTGCGTGGAATGTTGCGATTGTAAGCCAGTCTGGCCCCTGTCACTGGGAAGCTTGCTCGATCTCATTCACTCTGTTAGGTTGCAGCAGATTTATACATCTCAACTTACCTTTCGTTTCTCATGTTGAAGCGAAGAAGCGGCTTCCGTTCGTGCGTTTCTTCCGTCCTCCAGTTGAACCAGCTTGCCTTCCAGCCCATACAACGCTCAGCAAAAACTCAACTCCTTAGGACGGAAACTATCATGAACATGGTCATAATCTATGGTGTGACAACAGGAGCTATAAGCTCAGTGCTTGCCATAGTTCTTCTCCTTTCGGTACGTCGATCCGTATGAGCTGGCAGGCACGCCTGATCTTACGACGTGTCCATAAAGAACCAGCTCGAGCAGTGGACCATAGAGATCAATGTCGCAACGGTATGTCAAGAAGTGGAGGAATGCACTCTACATTCCCACTGCTCTGGCTAACTTCTAGCATCATACCTAGTGGGCACCGGCGGTCGTGATCTGCGCAGTCCTCGCAAAGTTCGTTTATCCTTTAGCTGCACGACATGTAGAAAGCGCCATTATCTGAGCATCATTAATATTAATAGCCTTCATTTACGAACCGCCTTGAGGGAACACGTCAAACCAGACGAGAGTATACCAACACCCAGTTTCTCGCTCCGAGTTTTAGATCGTGCCTCGCGCTCGACGCATCCTACCGCCTATACCTCTACCGCAACCCAACCGCCCTCCCACGACAACCCACCGTTAGGGTTACCAAATCCAGCCGCTACAGATCTCGATGCTCGAGAGGGGAAAGCTCACAACACAACCACTCCCGAAGATGCAAGCTTTCCCCCATCAGGTTCATGGTATACCCAGCCACTAGATCCTTCTTCGTCTCAATCTGCACCCAAAAAAGACCCATACCAACTAAGTGAAGACGCCAGCGGGAATCAGGCTACACAACCTAGAGACCGAGCAAGTCTAAACGACTTGCCGCTAGTTCCCAAGATTCAGCTGTGAATGTTCTGCCTC